CTGAAAAACATGAGTCATTGATTTACATGGTTTCTGGATATGTGGGCAGTGAAAGTGTCAGAATCAGTGTGGCAATGACCATACCAGCTTGAGGAAGGGTTAACTTGGGGAGGGAGGCAAGAGAATGGAACAGGAAGGAGCTTCAGTTATCTCTGTGGTATTTCATTTCTTAAAATGTTATGCAGCAAATATGTCAAAATGTTTGGATTTGTTAAAGCCAGAGGTATGGGTATATATACATACATGTATTGTGTAATAGTTTTTAAAAAAATGTATGTTTGAAACAGTCTATAAGGCCGGGCGTGGTGGCTCATGCCTGTAGTCCCAGCGCTGTGGGAGGCCGGGGCGGGTGGATTACCTGTGCTCAGAGGTTTGAGACCAGCATGAGCCGGAAGGAGAGCCAGAGTGAGACCCCGTTTCAACCAAAAATTGCCGGGCATTCTGGCAGGCGCCTGTAATCCCAGCTACTTAGGAGGCTGAAGCCAGAGAATCACTTAAACCCAGGGACCCAGGGGTTGGCAGAGGTTGCTGTGAGCTATGTACCCTACTAAAGGACACAAAGTGAGACTCTGTCTCCTCCATTAAAAAAAAAAAAAAAAGAAACAGTTTATAATAAAAAAAGTGTTTTTAAGTGTCAGGGATTTGGAGACAAGCTCAGGGTTAAGTCTTCACTAGTTACTAAGCTGTGTTTGGACAAGTTACTTCTTTTCTCATCTGTAACTGGCCCTCTTGGGATGTCACATACCAGTCACCTGAACTGAACACTCACTTAAATGAACATTGAGAAATAGCTTGCCGATTTCTTTCTTTTCTAAAAACAAAAACTTTTGGTTGCTTTGCTCTCAAATTTAAGGGTCTAGGGTTAAAATTTCACTAGCTCTTCTCCCCCCAGTGCACAAAGTTTACAGTTTTGGCTTACCCCTGGATATAATCTGGAGGTTTGGAATTCCTTTGGAATTTGACAAGGGATGATTTAGTTTATAATCTGCGGAGACAGTCTCATTCACATTTGAAGGCTTTATGACTGATGGGTCTTTGTTCTTTGGAAAGGTTCAGGTCTTGCTCTCTGTAGAGTGTCGAAAGGTACTGTTAGAACCCGCATTTATTTGTTTTCTAGTTCTGAGACATATTGAAAAGTAGAATCCAGATTTGTGGCAAATTTGGATTTAGCGAGGTCAATCTATTTATCTCCTTGAAAATTTCCTTTGTGAACACTATTCGCAGTTCCTGCGTTGTGGTCCCTGGTGTTCCCTCCCTTAATGGGGCTGCCCAGGGAGCCATCGCAATGGTAGGAGGAAGCTGCAGCCCTGGAAGTTCTGGCCCCAGGGGGCCTATAGACCTAGGGCTGGCTTGAGACACCCAACAGCGGATGGAGGAGAAGAATCAGAGTCAGAGAATGAAAGAGGCAAAGTGTACAAATTAGGACTTCTGAGTTTGAAGGGGGTTCTGTAGTTTCCAGGTTGTGACCTCAGTCTCTATCCCCAAACCTATTTTTCTTTTTATACCCACCTCCCCCCCATACTTGGGAGTTAACTTGTCCTTTCTAAGATCACATGCAATCAGCCCCTCATTCCCGCCTTCTCCATGTGGCTCAGGGAAGACACACTGCAAGCCTCTAAGGGGGCCTTTGTTAGAAAGAAGTTGAAAGGCCCCTCTGGGCATAAGAAGCTTTCTGGTGAGTCACTTGGCTAACAAATGCTTAAAGGTGAGAAGACTTGTCCTTTCTTCTTGGCTCAGACGGTGCGTAGGTGATAGGTGGCATTCATCTTCCAAAGTCCCCTCCTCCCAGGACTCAGTGAGGAATGCATAGGGACCTGCTATGGCCCTGCTCAGACTGTGGCCTCCTCTCTGCTGCTGCTTTAATATGGACAGCTCTCCCCCATCTCCCTTCTTCACTAGTGTTCTAGCTATTTCCAGAATGGTCCCAGAAGTCCTGGACACACCCCAGTACCTTCAGAACAAAAACTCAAGTCACTCCACATGGCCACTAAGCTCTGGCCCTGCGGATTCACATTTCCTCTTCTGTCTCTCCTACTTCCTTCACCTGGAGCTATCCTGGCCTCTGCTGGAAAAGCCTTTTTTCCTCTTCAGAAAAATTAGTTTTGTAGGGCCCATGAAAATCTATCAAACTATTAAAGTATCTTTCTTTTTTTTTTTTGCAGTTTTTTTGGCTGGGGCCAGCCTTGAACCCACCACTCCCTGTATAGGGGGCCAGTGCCCTACTCGCCTTTTTTTTTTTTTTTAAATAAAGGAAGATTCTCAGGAAGGAGAAAGTACCTAGGGAATAAAAAAGTGACAATGTGGCCCGGTTGGTACCAGTTATCCCTTCCCACAGTTGGAAGAATGGACTGCCCCACTGTGTTTCTGATTTCTTTTCTTTTTTTTTTTTTGAGACAGAGCCTCAAGCTGTCCCCCTGGGCAGAGTGCCGTGGCATTACAGCTCACAGCAACCTCCAACTCCTGGGCTCAAGCAAGTCTCCTGCCTCCGCCTCCCAAGTAGCTGGGACCACAGGCGCCCGCCACAATGCCCGGCTATTTTTTGGTTGCAGCTGTCATTGTTGTTTGGCGGGTCCGGACTGGGGATTCGAACCCGCCACCTTAGGTGTACATGGCTGGCGCCTTAGCCGGTTAAGCTATAGGCGCTGAGCCGTGTTTCTGATTTCTAAGCCTTTGCACCCCCAGCCCGGTGGTAGGCACTGGGGGCTGACTCAGTCACTGCTTGCTAAGTGGATTAGTACACAAGTAAACGATTGGCCTGGGGCCAGGCTCTTGCCTCTCTGAGTCCCCGTTTCTTCATCTGTACAGCAAAGTTACAGCTTCCTAGGGCTGCTATGAGGATGAAGTGTAAGGGGGAAAATGCATCAGGCTAAGGCGTCAGAAGCCTTTCCCCAGGCCGAGCAGGATGTGGGTGAGGAGGGGAGGGCCAGAGGTTGTTAAAAATGGCTCCAGGTGACTTTGGTCCTTCTCTTTTGGTAAGACACAAAATTATCATATTTATACACATAGAGAACTGGAAGGACTGGCCCCCCGCCTCCCTCCAAAGTGTCTCTCATAGCGGTTAACCCAGCATGGCCTCCCTGTGAATTAGCAACTAAACTGGAATGAAGTACAAGGCCCCTCAGCCCCTCAGGAACTGGCTCTTTTCACTTTAGCTTGTTTTTTTGTTTTGTTTTGTTCTGTTTGAGCCATAGAAGTATGTGAAGGCCAGGTCTGCGTCTCACTTTTCCTTTGTGTTCCTGGGCCCCGCACAAGTGAAGGACATACAAATGAAGGATGGCAGGGCCGCAGGAGAGAGCAGAGAAGCGGGGCAGTTTACTCAAGGCGATGTCTCTCGAAGAGCACGGTAGGGCGGAGGATGAGACCCGACTTCTCCCTGACAGTGCCCTCGAGGCACGTACGAAATCTTAGTTCTTGACCCCTCATCATAAACATTTCAGGGGACAGGTTTCCAGTGTTCCAAGTAATATTTTCCATGGCTCCCGAAGGGCTGCAATGGTTTCCCTTTCACAAGCTGTGGGTGCCTGTTTAGTCACAGACGGTATCATCTTGTCTGTCTCCTTCACTGCAGCGTGTCCAGCTCTACAAGCATGCTGCCGCACAGTGGGTGGCGAGTGAGCGGATGAGTCTGTTAACGGTGATTGCCGGGTGAGAACAAAACCCACCTCTAGATAATGGGACCCTTCACGGCCTCTTCCACCCTGTCATTTGGATCGCTGGGCATCGCCTTTGTTGTGGGCGACCAACCACAGGCAAAGCGAGCACCTGCTCCTCCAGCCCGTCCTCGCAGAAGGACCCCAGGCTGCGGCGCCCCTAGCTCCTCTCCGGGTCCCTTCTCTCCGCTTCCTGGGAGTAATGGGTCCGGGGGCGCCCCGGGGCCCTCAACCAGGGTCCGCCCAGCGCTTCCCGGCTATCTCCAGGTGCCCGACACCCCGCCCGGGACCAGCATTCTTCTCCTCCCCCGGCCAGGCGCGGGGTCTTAGGTTGCATCAAGGGCCTTGTCAGGCACCCCTAGCCCTACGGGGACAGGAGCCTCACTCAGTCCCGGCTGCACACGCCCTCTCTTCCCGGCTTCCATTTAGAGCCACCCTCGCCCCGCAGGGTCAGGGCCCGGCACTGCAGGCTCTCCGCCTGTCTACTGCACGCCCCCTCTCCAGGGCCTGAGTCGCTGCGGCCTCCGCCCTCACCCGTGGCCAGCTCCGGGGAGCCTCGCCGGTCCACTCCTCCCATGAGAAGCCCGAGCTCCCAGCGGTCCCGGGCGGCTCCCGCGGGAGGGGGCGCGGCCGCCCCCGCGGCTCCACCCTGTCGGCGGGGCCGCAGCCATCTGGGGCCACTGCCAGTCGCGTCCGCTCTGGGGCCCGCGCGGAGCTCGCGACCCGCTCGTGCGGGAGGAGGCAGCCCTGGCAGGGACCCCGGCCTTCCCATCGGGCGCTCCCCTGCCTGCGCCGGTGCTGGGAGCCGGGCGCTGAGGTGCCCCGAGGGGGCGGTGGCCGAGAGCGGAGCTTGGGTGGAAACGCGTCGCAGCGGGCGAACCTCGCCACTTCGGTGACCCTACGGGAGTCGGGACCGGAGCCCCAGAGGCGGTGGTGCAGGCCCGCGAGGGCGGCGAGGTCCATGCTCCCAGCGTCCGAAGCGGGCGCGGGCTGCTGAGCCTTGGCTGGGCTCGTCGCCTCCCGCTTTTCCCCCCAGCCCCCCGCGAGCTGGCAGGAGGAAATAGCGTGCGGCCCCTTTAAATTTACCCAGGAGCCCTTAAAGGAGCCCCAGGGGCCCCAGACAGGAATCCCCACCCCGGTCCAGCCCGCGCCGCCGAGCGAGCAGCTTGCCGTCCGTGCGGCCGGCCACCCAGTGCATGCGCCCCGCGCCCCGGGGCCTCGC